CGAGGAGCTACGAGAGTTTCCCTTTGAGCTGGAGGACCGAGAGGCTTCCTGTCGGGCCGGACGAGAGGGGGGGATAGCGAGAGGGGGGATTACGAGACATTTGCTGCATGCAGCTGGTCTCGGCCCCGCCGCCGGGCCCATGCCTCGATATACGTGGGCGCCTCTGGGGCGCCGGGGAAATCAGCTATACGTGAGCTGATTCTCACCCCCCTCCTTTGTTGCTATCCCCCCCCCTTCGCCCGGCCCGATCCTGGGACAGGTCCTCGGCCCTCGGGCCCAAACCGCCGCCGGCCAGCTCGCGTGCACGGCCTTCCACGCGTCGACCTCGGCCCCTGGGGAGCCGCCCACGGTCGCCATGGGGATGGCGGGTGCCGAGGTTTTTCTCGTCGTTTTCGGGCTCTCGGGGCCCGAGGCTGTCAGGAAGCGACTCAGGATGAGGATCTCGTCCCGGCGGAAGGCCCCGGGGCCCAGGACCCGTGTCCCTCAGGAGCCGTTCCTCCCACGCTATAAGATTGCCGTTGCGGACGGCAGGTGTAGCCGTCTCTCTCGGCGAGCCTTTGCCCTCGAATGGGCTGAGTGCCCTGCGTCGATCTGCTGGGGGTTCCTCGCGATTCCTGTCGTTCTTCCCCCCGCTGAGTGCCCTGCGTCGATCGGCTGGGGGTTCCTCGCAATTCCTGTCGTTCTTCCCCCCCCCGCCCCTCTAAAGGCCTAAGGGCGTCGCTCCATGAGCCTGATTACTTCTGATGCCCTCCATCTTCGCCAGAGGGGCCACGCCCAGAAGAGTCCCTCTGGCCCTTGAGATTCTAGACATGGCAGCCTCCTCCTCGCATTCTCCTCATCCTTTGCATCCCTCTCCTCATTCCCAAAAGCTAGTTTCCCTCCCGGTCCTGCTGCCGTCAAGCTGTCGCTGCGACTGGCCCGCCTTCTCCGTCTCGCTTCTCCCCCCTTCTCTCCTACCTGCTTTTGACGGGCCTGTTTTCCAATGACCACCACCATAAGTTGGAGGGGGAAGAAGGTGGAGGATGAGGAGGATGAAGAGGAGGAGGAGGAGGAGGAGGAGGAGGAGGAGGAGGAGGAGGAGGAGGAGGAGGAGGAAGTGGGCATCTTCTCGAATGATGATGGGGGGGTGCGCGCGCGCGCCGCCTCCCCTCGACCGCCCGCTTCCGTCAGGCAGACCACTCGCGGCATCGGCCCATGGCGCCCCAGTGGACTCAGATGCGGGCGGCCCATAGCGGCCCAAGCGTCAGCGCATACAACCCGAACCCCGCCAAGGCAGAGCGGAGCCGTGATATTGCAGGGCAGTTCGAGAAAATGGGAGGGATGGGGCTGATCGGCACGCAGCAGAAGTTGTCGAACGGAGAGATAATGAATATACAGAGGCACTGGAGTGCGGACGGGGGGTGGCAGCGGGGAGACATGGAGAACAAGTCGTGCGGGTTGACTAGGTGGGTTCGGAAACGCCTGTTCGGCAAGAAAGACTGCGAAGGTTTCTTCCCTGTTCCGAAGAAGCTCCAGGGCCGGGTGCAGCGGGGTTCGATGAGGATTGCGCCGATTTTGCTCTACCTCCTGTTCGACTATATCGTGATTCCAGAGGATTGGAGGCCAGATGTGAAGTGGTGTAGAGTACAGGAGCAGAGTGCATGGAGGCACCAGGTGCACTCGCAGAAGACGGTGGGATGCGGGATCTTGATGGAGCGCGTAGCGAAGCCGAACGAGGTGAGTGAGAGACCGATTACACCGAACAGGGAGGCGACGCTGCCCCAGCGGGGGTGGCGGCGCAGGGAGTTCATGACACAGCTCGAAAAGGAGATGGAACGGGTGGACGAGCAGGTGATGCAGGTGAGCGGCAGCAAGAAGATGGATGTGGACAACCAGGGAGTAGCTGAGAAGCTGATCGGGGCATTATGTGCGACGTCCCCATTGTACACGGAGGACCACAGGATCAAGAGCGAGAAGGTCACGAAGGTGGTGAGGGAGCGGCGGGCGGTGCGAGAGAAGTCCAGAGAGCTGCAGTTCCTCGGGGGTTGCGGCGTGATGGAGGAGGCGGAGGGCAGCACTGACCTGTACACGAGGGAGCTGGAGCTGACACTCGAGCTGAAGAGGGTGAGCAAGTGGCACCGTATCCTGACAACTTCGAGATTGAGTGCGAGATCGTGAGCCGTCGCGGCGAGGAAGTGTCGTCTCAGAAGACTCGAGCGTGACTCAGACGCCGCCGCAGCACAAACAGAAGAAGGACATGGAGGAGGGCGTGGCTTTGAAGCGGCTGGTACACCAACTGAAGAAGCACCGAGGAGTGTGCCAAAGGCAGATAGTAATGAGGCGCGCCGAGGATGTGGAGGGCTGGGTGAAGGAGTTCACTCTTTCCCTGACGTACGACACTGGCACCGTACGGATCACGTTCGACGTGATCGGCAACGTTCTGGTGGCCCACAAAGCGGAGGCGGCCAAGCAGCCGAACAAGCAGCAGACAGAGGCGGAGGGCGGAGCGGTGACCGATGAAGTGAGTTACGTGCAGAAGTCCCTCGAGACGCCCAGCGAGAGGATGAAGGCCGTGAGCGTGAAGATGGTGGTGTACCAGATCAGGCGCGGCTGGGGCGCCGCGGCGGAGGCGGGACGCGCGCCTCGGGGGCGCCCTCGCGCGCCGCATGAAGCAGCGAGTGGAGGGGGCCGAGGTAGGTGGGCTAATGAATGACGGGGCTCGGGGTAAGTGGCCCTGGCCCGTTCGGGCACGCGGCGGGTTTCGTCTTCTTCCGCTCGTCCTCCTTGTCGGTCGGTTCGCCCTTCTCCCTCGCCGCGTGCGTCCGTCGCCGTCGCCTCCCGCGTTTCGCTCGCGGTCCGACGGTGCCGTGTCTTGCGTTTTTATGGTGCCGATTGTAGGCTTGCCCCGAGCTAATAGGTGTGAAGGATATGGCCGCTCGAAGGGGGGAATCAGAATCAATCATCAGGAGGAGGAGGAGGAGGAGGAGGAGGAGGAGGAGGAGGAGGAGGAGGAGGACCCCTCCCCCTCCTACTCCTGGTGGTGGTGGTGGTGATGGAAAACAAGCCCACCTGCTTCCCCTCGTGGGCTTGGAGGCCGACGCCTTTACCTGCGCGCCGCGGATCCCTCGACCGCGCAGCGTGCTAGGCCGCAGGCGGCCTCCGCCTCTGCTGCATTGCTGCGCTCCCTTTCTCCCCTTGAGGCTAAGGCGGCGGACGGTTCTCCGGACCCGTGTGGCACCCGCCTCCGTCTCCGCTCCCCCTCTTCCGCCTCCTCCTCTTCCTCCTCCTCCGCCTCCTCCTCCTCCTCCTCCGCCTCCTCCTTCTCCTCCTCCGCCTCGGCTTCCCCCCCCCTGCTCCTTCTCCTCCTCCTCTTTCCTCCTCCTCCTCCTCCCTCCTCCTTCTCCCTCCTCCTCCTCCTCCTCCTCCTCCTCCCTCCTCCTCCTCCTCCTCCTCCTCCCCCTCCTCCTCCTCCTCCTCCTCCTCCTCCTCCTCCTGCTCTTCCTCCTCCTCCTCCTCGTGGGTCGACCGTCGCTCTCCTCCCGCGGCCACGCTCGCCACCCACTGCCCCTCCGGAGGCTCCGAGCGAGAGAAGGCGCAGCAGCATCGCAACAAGTTCGGCGGGGGCGGGATGTCCTCCTACGACAGCCACTCGAGCGACCGCTACGGAGGCTTCGGCGGCGGCGGCGGAGGCGGAGGCCTGCCGTGCGCGTCCTTGCCTGCGGTTGCTCTCTCTCTTTCTCTCTCTCTCTCTCTCTCTCTCTCTCTCTCTCTCCCTGGCAGCCGCCTGCTGGGCCCAGAGCCTTCGCGTGTACGCGGCGTGAGTGTCAGAGGAGGAAGCGGTACCCATACCGCTGGTCCCCCCTTGCTTTCCCTTTGTTGGGCCTCCTGGAAGGCCCTCGTCGCCACCGCTGGTTTCTCCTCGAAATCCTGGTCAGAACGCACCCCAGGAGAGGAGTCCGGGGAGCAGCGGTATCGGTGCTTTTTGTGGTTTCCCCAGGGTGAGGCTCGTCTGGGGTGGGCGCCGAGGGGAGGTCTTCGAGGTCTTCCAGGGGATCTCAGACGGGCGGGCTTCGTGCACGCACATACATGTCTATATATATATATATGTGTGTATATATATGTATACGTACACATATACACAGACTTACACATGTTGATTCATCTATATACATAAACGAATAATCACATGTATTAACATATGGTATACCTAAGTATGTATATACATATAGACAGAGAGAGAGAGAGAGAGACAAGAAAGACAAGAGAGCAAGAGAGATAGAGAGAGCGATAAGAAAGACAGAGAGAGGGTACGGATTGAAGGTATAATGCCAGTTCGGGCATGTCGGCAGAGGAATTCCCCCTGGGGCCGTCCTATAGTTTGTTTTTTTACGAAAAACATGGATTCACAGCGCATCAGTGTAGTCTCCCATTGGCGACGCTACTCGATGAGTGCTTGCACGGATGCATTCAGCGTAGCGTCCATTGGTTATGTTGCCCCAGTGCATTCGAAAAGTGGCATTGCCCTTGCGCCCGTTGAGCACCGATGCTCGCTGTGCCTGAAAGGCGTATTGCTCCAGGGAAGTATGGCAACCCTGTACTGTCCTCGCTGCCGCCTCTGCCAGTCTGCACCTCCTCACCCATAAATTTGCTCGTTTTCGGTATCGACGGCCCGCCGACTGCCAAACAGAGGTGCCAGCGAGGGTGGTGGGTCCTCTGGGGCTCCTGCGCCCCCCCCATCGGCCTAGAAGGCCTTTCTTTTCCTCCTTGTATACGCCCTCCACTTCCTCATCATCGTCGCCCTCCTTGTCCTCCCTCCTCCCAGGGACCCCTGGAGGCCTCCGGAGGCATCTGGCAGCCCAACAAGACTCCAAATCGCCCGAATTTCCAGGTTGTCGATCCTAATCCCTCCTCCTGTTCCTCCCCTTCCCAATCCGCCCTTCTCCCCCTCCTCGCTAGTTCCGCTGTAGAGACGCGGTCCGCGCCCTCGGGCTGCATGGTCGCCGCGGAGCACGCCCCGAGACAGGGCCTGGGCTCCCTCCCGAGGCCCCCGGGTCGAGCTGCGATGTTGGTGGTGGGGGTCAGCGCAGACGGAGCTCGGCCAGAGCGCCACGTCTTTTAGCATCCTGTGAGGCCGAATCCGGGCCCGCTCGCGGCCTCGGAGGTGGCCTTGCACACCGGTGGAGCCTGGAAGCCCCCCAGTGGGCTGCAGTTCAGATTTTGTTTACTGAATCGCTTCGCAAATTCCGCCGGCCCATATTGCCTCCCCGCTGTCGCTTGTCGGGGTGTTGTTGTCAATGCGGTGCGGTTGGGCGGCTGCCATTTTCGGAGGCTGTGGGTGGCAGGTCAGAGGTCTCACGGATGTTGGTTGGGCTCTCGTGGCTGGCCTCTCAGGGGCCTTCTGGGGGGCAGTTTTGAAGCCTCTTGGGGGCCGTGTTGGGGCCTCTTGGGGCCTCTTGGGGGCCTCTTTGGGCTTCTTGGGGTGCCTCTTGGGGGCCCTTGGGGCCTCTTGGGGGCCTCTTGGGGCCTCCTGGGGGCCTCTTTGGGACTGAAGGCTGGACTTTTCGGTTCCTGATCACCTTCTTGGGCCCCTCTTGGGGCCGTTTTGGGGCTCTCTTGGGCTGTCTTGGGGCCATCTTGGGCTGTATTGGGGTCATCTTGGGCCGTCTTGGGGCTGTCTTGGGGTCCTCTTGGACCCTCTTGGGGCGATCTTGGGAGCCCCTTAGGCCATATTGGAGCGTCGGGAAGCCGAAAAAGGAGAAACCCGAAATTGTGTCCAAAACCTACGGAAAATCAATGAATTGTGCCTCTTGGGGCCCTCTTGGGCGTGCGTCTGGAGGCCATGGTGGGCGTCTTGGAGCGATCTTGTGGCATCGTCGGCCGATCTTTCAAGGGCTCCAAGGGCTCTTGGACCGTCTGGGCGCTCTCTTGAGGCCGTCTTGGGCGCCTCCTGGGCCGTCTGGGGGGCCTCCGGCATCTCTGGCAGGCGCTTGCCGGGACTTTGACGGGGTACTTGTCGCGTCGGGGCCCCCAGGGGCCGCCTCGCGCGCGCGAACGTGTTATATTGCTAACTTGTTGCCGGAGATCTTAGCACGTCTCTGGCCCGTTGGGCCGGCGGATTGGCCGAGCAGGATTTTGCGCTGAGCTGGGCCAGTGCTCGGCAGCGGAAACGGAAGCCGACCCTCGCCGATGAACAATTCGGGCAATTCGATGGGCGGCGGGCGCAGGGTTCGGAAGTCGTCGCACACGTGGCGGGATGCGAGCCCTCCCCACGCCTCCCATTTGCCATGGCCGACGCGTCGGATTCCCTGGGCCCGCGTGGCCGAGCCTTACCCCCAGGGTCTTTGTCGCGACCTTGCCCGTGTCCTCGTCTCCTCCAGCATTTCAGAAAACACTACCTGATTCGTGTGTGGCATGGGCGCTTTCACTATTCAGTCTTAGGCGGCAGTCTTCTTCAGATCTGGTCCAACACAGTCGCATCATCCCAGAGGATGTCGCCCAGCTCGTTATTTGCCGCGTGCGTCGAGACAAACTTGTTGTTTCGGAAAATGAGGAGAAGTGGTAAGGCGTTGGAGCGCTCGCGCGTTGTTGTATTTTAGCTCCTCGGTTGTGCTTTCCAACAACTTTTCAGGATGACATTCCAATGCCATGCTGGCTCCCAATTTCACCCGTGTGGTCGGAGGTTGGGGGGCTGAGATCGAAGTGGAACGGAGAACCCCCCGGGAAATCGATTTCGGTTTCGTGTTCGTGCCGTGCGTGCGGGCGAGGCGAAGCTGCGTGGGCGGGGGAGAGGAAATTCTCCTGTGGCTGGGCCGCGGCTGGGCAAAAGGTTCTCCGCCCGGCAACCGGTGGCGCGCGATGTCGTTCCGGTGTCCCGCTGGTGTCCTGCTGGTGTCCCGCCGGTGTCCCGTCGTGGCTGGGCCGCGGCCGGACCAAAAGGTTCTCCGCCCGGCAACCGGTGGCGCGCGGTGTCCCGCCGGTGTCCCGCTGGTGTCCCGCTGAGATCGACAGTGAGATCGATAGTGAGATCCATAGTGAGATCGATGATGAGACCGATAGTGAGACCGATAGTGAGATCTATAGTGAGAGATCGATAGTGAGATCTATAGTGAGATCGATCGTGATAGTGTCCCGCCGGTGTCCCGTCGTTGCCCTGTGGTGTCCCGTGGTGAGATCGACAGTGAGATCGATAGTGAGATCGATAGTGAGATCGATAGTAAGATCGATAGTAAGATCGATAGTGAGATATCGATCGTGGGATTTATAGTGAGATCGATCGTGATATCGATAGTGAGATCGATAGTTAGATCGATTGAGTGAGATCGATTGAGTGGGATCGATAGCGAGATCGATAGTGGAATCGATAGTGATAGTGAGATGAATAGTGAGATTGAAAGCGAGATCGATAGTGAGATCGATAGCGAGATCGATTGAGTCAGATGTTGGTTCCCCCTTCCTCTACCCCCCCACAACCTCCTTATCACCCGAAGGGTTGTCGTATAGGTATATAAGACACTGACTGGGAGCTGTCATTTTGCAGTCCCGGGCGGCAGCCATCTCCAGATATGGTTCAACACGGTCGGATCATCCCAGAGGTTGTCGCCCAGGCTCGTTCGGTGCCGCGTGTTTCGAGACAGATCTGCTGCTTTGGAATCCCCACGGCGGGGAAGACAGTTGGCTTCTCCCCTTGGCAGAGGGCGGCGGGAGGTCGGCGGCAGCCAGCGGAGGTAAAACGAAGCTGCCTCCGCCGGCGGAAGGCCGGGGGCAGCCAGCGGAAGTAGGAAGTGCGCCCCCTATGAAGTATGAAGTATGAAGTATGAAGTGATGGCAACTTCTTTGGGTTCAGACCTTCCGGCCGGCAACGCCCACCTGCCAGGCAGCTACGGCGGGGGCGGGAGCTACGGCGGCGGCGGAGGCGGAGGAGCCCGGGGCCTCCGCCGTGCCTCGGGGGGTTGGTGGGGGGCAGGCCCGCGCTGGCCCGGAGCGGAACGGGCGCGCGGATGGTCGGGTTCCACCCCGACCCCCCGGCGTGGTGATTTTTTGTCGCAATCTTCACAGAGATTTGATGCCCCGAAACAATTGGGACGGCCAGTTCTTGCAAACTTTGGCCTCCCAGGGCCCCTTCAGCGGGCGCCGGGGCCGTCACAGGACGACTCAGGATGGAAAGCTGGCCCAGGGAGGTAGTCCAGACCTCTGGGAGTCCACGCATGGAAAAAGTTGAAGCACCAGATGCGTGTGTGTGTGTGTGTGTGTGTGTGTGTGTGTGTGTGTGTGTGTGTGTGTGTGTGTGTGTGTCTGTGTCTGTGTCTGTGTCTGTGTCTGTGTGTCTGTGTGTGTGCGCGTGCGCGCGTGCGCGCGTGCGTGCGTGCGTGCGTGCGTGCGTGCGTGCGTCTGTGTGTGTGTGTTTTTGTTGTGCTTGTGCGTGTGCTTGTGTGTGTGTGTTTGTTTGTTCCGAGGCCTATAGCGACCGCCTGGGGGATCGATCTTCGAGTACTTCGGCAGGCGGTGAATTTCTACATTCTTGTCGGCCCCCCATGGGCCCCGAATGTTTCCATATCCACCCCAAGCGGTGGATAAGGACAAATCCCCGTCTCGCAACGCGCACCCCCAGAGGTCTGGACCCCTTTCCAGGACCGGTTTCTCATCCGGAACTGAAGTTTTCCTGGCGTTGGTGCCCAGCCAACCAGAAGAGGAAGTTTCAGGAGGGAAAAAGACACACAGACACAATCAATCGTATATTCTCCAGAAAATATGAGAAATAAGGGAAGTGGGGGGAAGACAAAGACTTAGAAAATATAGGAAAATATGGGCAATCTTATTATTTGTGTCTATTTATTTGTGTGTCCCAGGGCCCCTTCAAAATTACCCCCTTCCGCAACCCTTCCTTCGTCGACACGGTTGGAGTCGCTCCGAATTTTGGCCAGGACGCACCATTGGAGGGGTCCAGGGAGTAGCGGTACCGGTATCGTTTTTGTTCGTCCAGTCAGGGCCCCCAGGAACCGAAGATTTAGGTGTTCCATCGCGGCTCACCGCAGCCATCCAGCTCTCGCGCCGAAGGCCGCAGGAAACCGCCGGAGACCGTTAGAAGATCGCCGAAGACCGCCGAAAACCTTCCGAAGACCGCCGAAGGCCGCGGGGCGACAAGCCCTGGACCACCAGCCGCCCGCCCGCAGGGTGTCGCCGATGCGGCCGCCAGCCTTGCGGACGATCTCCGCGTGACTGCGTCTCAGGCACTTCGAGGTGAGATCCCCCGGCTCTGCGATGCCCGCGGCTCTGGCCGTGGACCTCAGCTGGCCCACGACTGCGGGCAGCGCTGCAACCGCCCCATCTACCGTGTCGCGTCGCAGGCCGACGAAGGGTCGCGCGCCCGCCAGCATCCGCCCCGACGCGGCCCAGGGCGTGTGCACTGGGCAGGTCGATGGGCACCCCTTGCACCAGCACTCCCGCGTCACCGTGCACGGGGGCGGCACATTCTTCCTGCGGCTCAGATGCAACGTGGCGCTGTGGTCGCTTAAAGCGAGCACGGCTTGGTTGGCGTCGGCGCGAGGCGCCTGGACACTGAAGACAATTTGTTGGGACGGCTTTGCGCGGCGCACTGCGATCCCCAAGCCCTCCGACGGCAATCTGAGGGCGAAAGCGAATACACATTACGTACAGCGCACGGAGTGCAGGGTCAGACACGCGAGGCGGGAGACGCAACGGAATTTTGTGCATAATCTCTCGTTTCGCGGGGCGGTCCCGCGGGTTGCGCGTCGAGTTAGCCGCGCGGGCTCTCCTGACTTCCCGCGCCGCGAAGCAATCCGTACTCAGCCGGAGTACCCTTGCCCATGGCGCATTGCGAGCGCATCTGCGCGTCGCCCCCGCGCCCCGCAAGCCGTCCACAACGCACTGACGTGGTTGCTGAAGGTGCCAGCTGACTACCACACCAGTCGGAGGTTGATAGACCTCCTACCGTGACACGTCGATTAGTGAATTGGCCGTTTTCGGTTCGCGAGAGGGCGTCGCGGCCGTTACTTTTGCGGGTCCAGGTCCGTCGGTTTCGGTCCCAGGCCGTTTTCACTAAAGGGAGGTTTACTAAAGGGAGGTTTGTCCACCGCCGAACCAGCAGCCCGTCCACGTCTGGGGCCAGCGCGTTGCCTACGCAGTCCAGCCAGGACTCAGCGAAGCAGAACCAAGACTTCGCCGCCGCCGTCGTCGTGTGCCCAGGGAGCGCGGGCACGCGCCCAGCAGCGCGCGCAGGCGCTCGCGTTCGCGTCACGTCCCCGCCCCGATGGCGGTCGCCGTCGCGACCTGTCCGCGCCTCCCATAGAAGTCTGGCTTGACTCCCATCTTGGTTTTTGCCGCGACGCGAGGGGGTCTGGGAAGCGGGACGAGCGCGCCGATGGGCCAGCCTGCTTGCGGCGGCGCGACGGGGCCATGAAGGGAGAGGAGGCGAAGGAGGGGGAGGAACGACGTCCACAACCAGCAGGCTGACCACCAGCATCACTACCACCAGCACGACCACCACGAGCACCAGCATCACCAGCAGACTGACCGCCGGCACGACCACCACGACCACCACCAGCACGAGTGACCTCCAGCACCACAACTACTAGCCACCACGCCCACCACCAATACGACCACCGCGACCACCACCAGCACGACCACGACGACCACGACGACCACCTCCAGCACGACCGCAGCGACCACCCCGACGACCGCCGCCGCCCCCCGTCCCCCTCTCCCTTCCCCCTCTCTCCCCTTCCCCTGCCCCTGCAGGGCCGCCCCTGCTGCTACGCTTTTTGCGCGGCTGTCCCCTCCTTCCTCCTCCTCCTGCTGCTGCTTCCCCCCCCCAAGCCCCATGCGCGCTGGCTGACCGGCACAGGGCACGGGCAGCCTTCGGCCGGCGTCGCGTCCCAGGGCCTGCTTCGAAACGAGGCTGGCCCGGGGCGCTCTGGACCATGGACGGTCTCCCTCTGGGCGGCCCCCAGAGAGCCAGTGGGGGCGCCATTCCCGCGACTGGCAGAGGGAGGAGGAGGAGGAGGAGGAGGAGGAGGAGGAGGAGGCGAAGAATGAGAACATCGCCCGTGTCCTTGACCGTCATTGCCGAGCTCCTCGGGGACCGCTTTTTTGGAGCTATTTGCAGCCGTGACCAGTGTGGACTGGGCCGAGGCCGCTTCGCAGAAGTGGTGTAGCAGAGCGGAAGAGGGAGGAAAGTGGATGAGCAGGATACAGGGCGTGTAGCGAGGAGGAGAAGGAGAAGCAGAAGCAGAAGGAGAAGCAGAAGGAGGAGGAGGAGGAGGAGGAGGAGGAGGAGGAGGAGGAGGAGGAGGAGGAGCGAGGAGTGAGGAGGGAGGAGGAGGAGGAGGGAGGGGAGGAGGAGGAGGAGGAGGGAGGAGGAGGATGGAGGAGGAGGAGGAGGAGGAGGAGGAGGAGGAGCAAGGAGGAGGAGGAGCTTCGTGACATTCCTTCCAGCAGCGCAGAATGAGGAGCGAGGAGCTGGAGGTGGAACTAGGAGGGGGAGGATGACGAGGAAGGAGGAGGACGAGGAGGAGGATCGAGGAGGGCTAGGAGGAGCGAGTAGGAGGAGAAGGCTTGGAGTTTTTGGGATGCGCGAGGAGGAAAAGTGTGGAGGTGCAGCATGTGGAGCGAGGTGGGGCGAGGAGGAGGAGGAGGAGGAGAAGGAGGAGGAGGAGGAGGAGGAGGAGGAGCGGGCACGAGGATGAGCATGAGCAAGAATGATGAGGAGGTTGCTCGAGGAGAAGCCGGGAGGAGCGAGGATGTCTATGAAGAGCTCCACTCCACTCGACTACGCGTAGGAGTGACCCTTCGCCGTAGTGACCTTTGATGCGGGCCCACAGGGGCCCCATGGGTTCCCCCCAGCATTAGCCTGCGCGCTTGGATTTGCCCGCACCCACCAGCTGCCTCTAAAGCCACGCACCAAAGGCCGCTCTTGCACAGGGTGACTATTGCGTGTAGCCGATCCACCATGGAGGCAGATCCCTTGATTCGCTGTGTCAGAGGGGACCGCCGCCGATCTGAACCCTTCCCGGGCAGATCCTCCCGGCCCGCGAATCGCCTCAAGGGAGGAAAAGGCACGGGAGCCAGCGTGGCTTCCCCAAAGAAAGTATTGCCGAGGTCAACCCGCTGGCCCCACCAAGATATGACGGGCTTCACCCATGGGCGGGCTTCAGACACTGGGTAGACTTGCGACAGACCAGAAGATCGATTACGGAAGTCAGTTTCGCTTTTAAGTTTGCGTGATTCTCGTTCGAGTGGATCTGCATACCAACCCCGACCTTGGCGTGGTGAATCTAGAGCGGCGGGCGTCATAGATTCGAACACATGTCATTGTCGTCTTATTCCGTTGTTTGTTCCGCTGCTGCTGCTGGGCCGCCAGGGAGTTGCAGACAGTGAGGAGCTCGCTTCAGGAGGAGTCTCGCAGCCAGCCTCTCTGAAGGCACGGTCGGAGAGAGGAGGCGGGTGGAGTTTCAGAGGACGATGTCCCTCCCTCGCCTTCGCTTTCAGGGAGGGCCGAGTCATACCGACCACCAGCCTGGCTGCATCCCCTCCATCTGGCGGCCACTCTGGCGTGGACTGGCCGCGAAGGTCTCCAGAAGGGGAGGCCGCATTTAGATCTTATGGTGGATACGCGTAATCAGAAGGTGGTGTTGGTGATGGTGATGGCGATGGTGATCTGTAGCAAAGGAGGCGCCATAAATTTGAAGCCAAAGTGGAAGTATGAGTCCCGGGCGGCCCATGAGGAAGCTACGACACCAATACTACCAGTTACGACGGATCGAAGTACGACCAGGCAGCCGAGGACATCTACCGCAAGAAGGCCCTAACCCGACGGGCGACTCTGGGAGGTGGGGCAGAAGGCGAAGACGGAGGAGGCTGCAGGCGGTGAGAAGGGAGGGCGCCTGATAGCGAGGAGGAGCAGGGGGCGAAGAGGAAGAGCCAGGAGGAGGAGGAGGAGGAGGAGGAGGAGGAGGAGGAGGAGGAGGAGGAGGGGCAGGTAACCTCGAGGAGGTGCAGGTGGCGAATGCGAAGGGGGGAACGGAGCTGGCGAGAAGGTCGGAGAGAGCAGTCGAGGAGGGGGGGACAGCGGAGGGCGGGAAAGGGATGGATAGACGCGTGGGAGGGGCGACGACGGAAGGAGGCACGGAGGGAGGAATAGGGAGGAGGGAGGGGGAAAGAGTGGAAGTGGAGGGGAGAGCAGGACAGTGGGATATGGAGGGGGTCAGGGGTGGCGAACGAGAAGGCGAGGGGACGATCTGCTAGGCGGACGGAGTTCGTGGGCGGGTCTAGACGGGTAGGGGACAGAGGATAGAGCCGCCGGTATCAGAGAGATAGCGGAGGGAAGCGTTTCGATGAACGAATGGTGCGCCTGCATGGCCGCGCCCACATGGCCACCAGCCTCCACGCTTGCATTCCTCTAGGCTGGTTTGCCTACGGGCGCACGGGTTACTGACTGGCTCGCACGTTTGCAACTGCACGCGCACCACTTGTTCTCCCAGCGCGCATCGCCGAAGAAGCCACCCGCATAAGCAAGCGTGTCCGCAGAAGTCATGCCGTGCCCGGCGGCGCCACTGCCCCGCAGGACGGCCCCAGTGGCATCTCGCTGCGGGCCAAGGCATGCATGCGCTTGGACACCGCGCTCGTCGCACCGAGCACTGGCGGCAAGCGCTGCGCGCACTTAGCTGGCATGAGCCTGCACGATGCACACCACGGACTGCCTGGCCTGGCTCTGTGGCGCGCCCAGGGGGGGGGGGGACGACAGACGGGGCGGGCCGTCTCAGAAGGCTCAGACGGCCTCGGGCCTCCCGAGAAGGCTCCTGATCCCAAGCCTTCTGCGAAGCGCGAAAGCCCCGCCGCCTTCTGAGAAGGCCTGCCGCCTCTCCCTTCCTCCATCGGCTCGGCCGGTTCTGCCCAGGGCCCAGGGGCTACCTGCGCACCCTTCGGGGGGAGCACGCGGGTGCAGCGCAGACGCCGAGGCGCGTGCCTCAAGGGTGCACCCTGTCCTCGGGCACATGGCCGGCGAGGCCCCTGCGCCGCACCTCTGGGCTCCTGGGCCCCCGCTCCTCAGGGGGCGCGGAGATGGTATCCAGCAGAGTGTTGGGCCAGGGTGGGGGAACAGGCGGCAAGACCAGGCCCACGATCCCGCACGCGTGCCTGCAGGCAGCAGCCCAGGCGCTATCGCGGCGCGCGGAGGGGGGGAGAGCGGCCAAGGGGAGGGTAAGGGAGAACAGGGAGGAGGAGCGCCCCGCCTGCAAGAAGCCCTGCAGGCGGGCGGCAACGCCAGGGCCGCGCCGGCCGTGCCGGCGGCAGCAGGCTGCGCGCAGCACGCAGGGCGGCGGGGCCGGGAGGTCGGACAGCAGCCAGAGTCCTGCGGCAGGCCAAAGCTGTGGCTAGGGCCAGCGGCCCCCACTGCCCGGGTGGTCAGGGTGGGCCAGAAAATGGAGGGCCAGGGCGGCCGCTCGCCGCCGGGGTGGGCAGCGAGCGGCGCTCCGTGGCGAGTTAATCTTGTTGCTGAGGCCAGCGGCCCCCACTGCTGGGGTGGACAGGGTGGGCCAGGCCGGGGCACCTAAGCGGTGCAGGGATGTGCTGTGCACTATCCTGCAATTGGCAGCACCGGGGTGGCGGGGCGTGGCGAGAGGAAGCCGCAGCTGAACGTGGCGTCGTGCCGGCTGGGGTCGCGGGCGCCGCCGCCACGCAGAGCGCAAAATTTGCTCCAGGCCGCCCCAGGTTCACCACCTGTTTGCTGCATCCTCCTGACCCGGGCCACCAGGGCTCCCTTCGAGTTGAGGAAGTCGAACAGGACGCGTGCTCGGACATCGTCAGGACGCGCCCGCCATTTAGTCAGAGGCGAACGAATCCCAGAGGACGCGGGTGTCCTGCAAAACGGCAGCGGTGTCTTTGACGAGGAGCAGGAGCTCCCGCCGTGCAGGCGGAGGAGTCTCCCCTCGCAGACTGGCACTGGATCAGCCCGCGGTGCTGGAGCCGCCAACGTCCATCGTTACTGGGGAGGTGCTAGGAGCTTTCGGGGCGGGCGGTGGGTTCACGTACCGATGCTTGTCGGCGATGACCCAGTTGCCGGCTACCGCCGCTGACCCGGCGGGCTGCAATGACGGACGCCGCGCGCCGCCCCGAGTGGATCGTGCTGCTGGGTTCCGCTGCTCGCGAATGTGCTGCTGGGTTCCGCTTTCCAGCCGCGGCGACAGGGGACATCCGGGACGCGCGTCGGCGCCAGGATATCCCTTTCCTCCGTCCCCACTTTCTCCGACTCCCCGAGAGTCCAGCCGTGGCGACGAGGGCTCTCCAGGTCTAGAGACGTGGCGACGAGGAGCGCAATTAACCGTTGCAAAAGACGGTGCGATGGAGCCGTGCTCTCCCGAAGGGCTGCGGGAGGCCCATTTGGCCCGGTGTTTGGGTCCCCGTCGGGGTCGCGCTGGGCTAGCGTCGTAATGGGTTGTCCGTCGGCTCTGTCTGCCGCCTGGGTGCCCAGCGTCGGTCGGGCGAGCCCGCTGTCTGAGTCCATCTCCACGTCCTGTCCAAGCACGCCGGCGTCCGCCTCGGGTCCTGGCCCAGGGCGAGCACTTGAGTCTTGGTCGGCACGCGTGCCTCCGGCGGCTTCGCCCCGAGGGAGGCAGGCCTGGCCTCCGCCGTCGCGGTGACCGTCGCCGTCGTCGTCGTCGTCGTCGTCGTCGTCGGCGTCGGCGTCGGCGTCGGCGTCGGCGTCGGCGTCGGCGTCGGCGTCGGTGACGGGGTCAGTGTCGGCGTCGTCGTCGGGGTCGGCGCCCGCGTCGGCGTCGACGTCGGCGTCGGCGTCGGTGTCGGGGTCGGAATCGGCGTCGGCGTTGGCGTCGGCGTCGGCGTCAGCGGCGGCGTCGGCGATGGCGTTGGCGACGACGTCGGCGTCGGCGTCGGCGTCGTCTCCATTGTTGTGCCCGTCCTCGTCCTTCCCCCGACCCCCCCGGCCGCGCCAGGTGTGCAACTACTCGTTGAAAAGACGGTGGGACTGTGCCGTGCCCTCCCTGCGGACAGCGTCGAAAACCGGGGTGGGGAACGTCGAGTGGCAAGGAAGGCGTGCTGGAGCTCCCGGCGGTGCCGTTGGCGCCTGTCCTGCTGCTCACGACTCTGCATCTGGGTTCCGCCTTCCGGCTGTGGCGACGAGAGTTCTGGGCTAGGTTCGCTGCTGAGCGTGGCAATGTCTTGTGCAGGGGATTCGCCAGTTCCTCGGGGGCCCCCGGACGAGGGCCGTTGTGGCTGTGGTCTGGGGGAACCGTGTGAACCAGGGCCGTCTCGGGGCCGCCTTCTTCAGGGGCACCGTCTCCGTCCATCGACAGACGTGGGCCGTCCGATCCGATGTCGGAGGAGGGCGGGCGGATGGGAACGAAGGGTCCTCTGCTGACCAGGCGATTGAGTGCGGCTCTGTCCGCCTTTCTGGCCAGCTCCTCCCGGGGCAGCGGTGCCGCGCCGACCTGCGGGCCCAACTCCCCAGCTACCAGGCGAAGCGGCAGCCCGAGACTCTCCAGGCAGCGGCGGCCGCGCGAGCCGTCGGGGTGCCTTGCCAGAGGGGGTTCTTGGCAGACGGCTGCATACGGGAGGATTGCGTGCACCTGGCCATCCGTGTCCAGTGCTCGAACCCAAGAGCCAGGGGGCGCGTCAAGGGACACGTCTGCGGTCGAGCCAAGATCGATCGTCCCCGCAGCCCTGTCCCATTGCCCGGTTCTGTACGCCGCTTGGGCGTCTAGCTGCTGCTGCGCGCCGCCTTCACTTGTGAGCCTGGGTCCGACGGGGGTTGGGCCCAACCCCGTGGGCACCTCGCGCGCTGGCTGCACCACGTCGCTTGCACCAGCCCCGCGCCTGGGGGCGGCGTTGCCCGTGGTCTGTTCGGCGCCCTCACTAGGTCCGCTTTCGGGTAAGCCAGGTCCTGGTGAGGCGCCGCTGGGTTCCCCGGTCCTCTCAGTAGTGTCAGGTCTGGGTCCAAGGCTCGCGCCTCCGCCGTGTTGCTCCCAAGGCTGCGACTGGAGCTCGTCTCGCTGCTCACGATCGTGCTGCTGATTTCCGCTTTCCGGCCGTGGCGACGAGGGATGTCCAGGCTCTATTCTTCCTCCGTCCCCTCGCTCTCCGACACCCCGAGAGTCCAGCCGTGGCGACGAGGAAGCGAGTGCCGCGCCGTGTATGGCATCTCCTCATCCTTCTTCTTCCCTTCCAGGTCCAGGGGCGCACCTAATCGGTGCATAGACGGCGGTAAGAGGCTGAGCCCTCCCCGCGGACGCCGTCGCACCCTGGGTGGGGTGCACCGCGTCGCATGGAGAGCGTCCGTGTTGATCGCCCCCTCTTCCTCCCCCCTTCCGCCCCGGGTCCAGGTGCGCACCGAATCCATGCAAGAACACTAGATTGAGGCTGAGCTCTCCCAGCAGACATCGTCGCACCCAGGGCAGGGTGCTCCGTGTCGCACGGAGGGTATGTTCAAAGACCGCCAAGTGAGGCTGAGCCCTCACTGCAGACATCGTCGCACCCAGGGTAGGGTGCGCCGTGTCGCACGGAGGGCGTCCGTCGTGGTCGTCTCTTCCTCCTTCCTTTTCCATCCCAGGTCCAGGGGCGCACCTCATCGGTGCAAGTACAGCTCAGTGAGGCCGAGCCCTCCGTGCAGACTTGCACCCAGGGTAGGGCGCTCCATGTCGTACGGAGGGCGTCCGTGGTGTCCGTCCCCGCCTCCTCCCCCCTTCCACCCCGGGTCCAGGTGCGCACTGGGTCCGTGCAAGAACAGTGGAATGAGGCTGAGCCCTCCCTGCAGACATCGTCGCACCCAGGGCAGGGTGCTCCGTGTCGCACGGAGGGCATCCGTGGTGCTCGTCGCAGACGGCGGGATGAGGCTGAGCCCTCCCTGCGGACATCGCCGCACCCGGGGTGGGGAGCGCCGTGTCGCACGGAGGGCGTCCGTGGTGCTCGTCTCCTCCTGCTGCTCCCATTCTCACCAGGCCCAGGTGTGCAGCTGCTCGTTGCAAAGACGGTGGGATCTCCGAACGGCCCCGCCCCCGCCCCACGGAGGGCGTCCGAGGCACGGGGGGACGCTTCGGGCGCTCCCAGATGGCCATCATTGAGGCGCAATGCTGCGAGGGCCTCCTGGGGCCCCCAGCGCTCCAGGAGAAGGCTGGGATCCGTCCTTCTGCTCCGGGTCGTGCCGCTGGAATCCGTCGTGCTGCTGGAGTTCGCCCCGCGGCTCGCGCTCGCGCTGCAGGGGTCCGTGATGCTGGTCGCGATTGTGCTGCTGGACTCCGCCATGCTGCTGCCGCTCGTGCTGCGCATGGTGGTGCTGTTGGAGTCCGTCATGCTGGTCACGGTGCTGCCGCCGGAGTCCGTCGTGTTGAGCCTGATCGTGCTGCTGGGATCCGTCGTGCTGCCCGAGGTGCTGACGATGGAGCCCGTCGTGCTGGTCGCATGCGTGCTGTCGCCTCTCTTCGGACGGCATGGAGTGCGACTCCAAGACCTGCTGCCTTAGCTGTTCCGACTGCGGAGCTACGGCGAAGCTGCTCGCCTCACGGACAGCTCGGCCTGCAGCTCCAGGGCTAGTTCCTTCAAAGGCTCCGCCTCCGCGGCCGCTGCGGAGCTGACCGGCTCGCGCCGCTGCTGCTGATCGGTCAACCTGAGCGATTCCGAGACTTGATGCACCAGCTGCTCCGCCGCAGTGGCGTCGGCACGGCCGGTAGGCTCGAGCTGCCGCTCCTGCTCGGAAAGCGTCGCCTGCAGCCCCGAGACCTGCCTCGACTGCTTTGCCGGCGCTCCCAGGACTAGGTCGGGCCTGTCCCCCTACAGGGAGGCTTTGGGCGCAAATTTACAAGACTCAAAACATATGCCCAAAACGGCGAACATGTGTAGAAAAAACGCCCCCGGATTATTTTGTGGAGTCTTTTTGGATATTCCTCCTGTAGAGGGACAGGCCCGACTGAATCCCAGGAGCATGGCCTCCTGCACGCCCGCCCGCACGCCGCCCGCCGCCCGCCGCCGCCGGCGAGGTCCCAACAGCGGCAGCAGCAGCGGCAACAGCAGCAGCGGAGGCCGCCGCCAGGGCAGCGGGGTCCCCGCGCACGCCAGGGAGGCTGGAGGCGGCCGCCAGGCCCGCCAGGGCAGCCACCGCCGGCGACCCGCGATGGCGAGCCTCGGCGGGGCGCCCGCGATGCGCGGCGCGCGGTCATCTTCGCGCCCTCGCGCCACCCATTGGAGAAGGCCAGCTCGACGGCCCTGGCCGCGAGCCAAGGGGGCTTGAGCACAGGTGCGCGCACACACACGCGCACACAGGCACGCACACACAGAGACACACACACACACACATACACACCCATACACACACAGACACACACACACACACACGCACATTCACACACACAGACGCACACACATACACACAGATATAGCTACACACACGCGCGCTCCGACGCCCACACATATATATATATATATATATGTATATATATATATGTATATATATATATATATACACACTAAACCCAGTGAGTTTGCAAGAGTGCGGCCTCCCGACCCGAGGACCAGGAACGGGCAGAGCGTGAGCGCAAACGCCGAGAAGGCGACCGCTACGAGGACGACAGGGATGACCGCCGCCGCAGCGGCCTCGGCCGGGTTGCGCGGCCGCTGGGTGGATGGATGATGGTTTCGTATGTTTGTTTGTTCACGTTGGGGGCTGATGGAAATCTGAAGTGTCGTCGTTTTGGGAGCGTGCCCGAAGAAGGCGGCACATATGCCAGGGTCGAGTAGGAGGACGTGCCGCACTGCACCATCGTGCTCGCGGTTCTTTCGAGGTGAACTGCACGATCTCCGCAGCGGGGGGGGCCGGGAAGTAAGTGGCCTGTGCTGGGCTCACCGGTATACTCGGTGCGGCAGCGGCACCGTCCATATCGGCCCTCTGTTGCCTGAGCCGTCGCCATGCAAGTTGCATTGAGCCAGGACGTTGCACAGCATAGATGTGAGAGGGGTATGGGGCGAACGATAGCGTTGGTCTGACATGTTTGGTTTTGTTTGCGGCGAGCCGATCCGATTTCCAGCTCTGGGAGGCTATGAGGAGGACGCAGCGCGATCATGAATCGTGAGGGTGCGAGCTGCCGCAGGCGGGGCACAGCCTACCACGAGGGGGCGCAGGCCACTCTTGCAGCAGGGAGGCGGGGCTCCAAGCGAGGCCTTCGTGGTCTTCCAGCCCCAGCCCGTGACTCCTTGGCCCGCCGTGCTCGCTGCCCTGCAAGCTCCACCGACGCGTCGGGCGCGCACACGCGCGCGTCGCCCAGGCTCTGGCTCCCGAGGCGACGGGCAGGCCGAGGAGGAGGAGGTGGCCGAGGAGGGCAGGAAGGTCAAGCCTCAAGCCACAAGAAGCACTCAGTCGGTCTCCAGGCTCCTCCTGTGCACAGGCTGCGCTTCGGTAGGCTCCCAGGGCTCCGGGAGGCTTGAGCTCGCCACGGGGATCCGGCCGCCGTGCCGCGCGCCCCCAGGAAGATCGTGCGCTGGGGGGGCGCCCCGGGCGCGAGCCGAGGAGCGCACTCAGGGCGTGGCCAGGTCCTTCTCGTGTCGTGCGCGGCCTGCGCTCGAAGAGGTGCGCGAGTTCCCCGGGTCGCCAGGGTGGTTGGTCGGCTACGGTATTCATGCTCCTACTCTTCCTCTTCCTCCTCCTCCTTCTCCTCCTTTTCCTCCTCCTCCTCCTCCTCCTCCTCCTCCTCCTCCTCCTCCTCCTCCTCCTCGTCCTCCCCCTCCTCCTCCTCCTCCTCCTCCTCCTCCTCCTCCTCCTCCTCCTCCTCCTCCTCCTCCTCCTCCTCCTCCTCCTTCTCCCGAGTCAAGCAGGCACGCGAACTCCACGAGTCCGACACGATCTTAGTCCTCCTCCTCCTCCTCCTCTTCCTCCTCCTCTTCCTCCTCCTCCTCCTCCTCCCGCTGCGGCGGGCGGGGTGCGTCTGGTGCCGTGGGGTGTCGTGGCGTGGAGGGGCGAAGATGTCGTGGTGCCGTGGTGTTGTGCTGTCGTGGTGTCCTGGTGCTGTGGTGTTGCGGTGATCACGTGGTGCCGTTGTGGCGTGTCTTCGTGGTGCCGTTGAGACGTCTTGCCACGGTGTTGTGGCGACTTGCTGCGTTGGTGCGGTGGCTTCGTGGTGTCGTTGTGCGGTTTGACGGGGTGTCGTGGTGCCGTGGATGTTTTTGATCGAGTCTTGTCAGGGAGTATCGGGATTGGCTCCTGTTGGGCGGGGCTACGGTCAAGAACCGTTGCCACGCATGTCGTTCCGCCAGTTCTTGCCCACGAGTCGGCGCGACACGCTTTGCACGTACCCATTTCCAAGCGTCCACGTTCCGAGCTCTTCCCCACCGCCCAGCCCGCGGATTGGAGCGACATGCTATCCGCTTGCAGGGCTTAGCGCGTCGCTGGGGCAGCGGGCGTGACACGCTTAGCGAAAGTTCCCGACCGTAGGGGGGCGAGGCGACGGACTTGCGGTATTTCTGAGGCGGCTTGACAGATGGGCTCAGTTCAGCATGCCTGATGGTTAGAATCGGTGCACACATGCTATTTGCCTCCACGTTGAAACACGACATTCCCGCGCACACACCCTCCTCCTCCTCCTCCTCCTCCTTCTCCTCCTCCTCCTCCTCCTCCTCCTCCTCCTCCTCCTCCTCCTCCTCCTCCTCCTCCTCCCATTCCTCCTCCTTCTCCTCCTCCTCCTTATCAGCTGCAAACCTGCGTGCTAGGTGCCAGGCGTTAGTCTACGATCACCCGCATCGGGCCCACGTTGTGAGTTGTGCCCGTTGTGCCCGGGGGAGGCGCGTTCAACTAGTATCGACACGACTCGCGGGCCCTGCCCAGTGGCCAGCAACCTGGGAAGAGGAGGAGGAGGAGGAGGAGGAGGAGGAGGAGGAGGAGGAGGAGAGGAGGAGGAGGGGGAGGACGAGGAGGAGGAGGAGGAGGAGGCGGAGAAGGAGGAGGAGGAGGAGGAGAGTGGTCGTGCAACTCAGAGCTGCATTGGCAAGGTGGTGCACTTGAGTTGGAGCGAGCAGCAGAGACAGCAGCTGGTTCGGAGGCCTGCGGGCGCTCAGCCCCTGCGCGCCCGCCAGCCGAGGTCGCGACGACCGGGACGACCGCGACGACAGGCGCCGACGCGACGACCGGGAAGAGCGCGACGACCGCCGCCGGCGCGACGACCGCGACGACGATCGTGGTGGGTGCCGTCCTCGGCGGCCTTGGACGCCTTCTGATCCTGTTTGCGGGGGGGGGGTCCTGTCTGCCTCCTTGGTGGCGCGCTCGGCTTGGGCAAGGGGCGGTGGCCTTCTGAGGAGGCGGGGTGGGGCTCTCAGAAGCCCTCCTGCCCTCCGAGAAGCCTCCGGTCTCTCCAGCGAGGCCCGCATGCCCTTTCAGAAGGCGCACGCCTTGCCCCATCCCCTTGCGCGCGCGGCCAAGTGTGGCAAAGGAGGACGGCGAGGAAGATAAGGACAAGGAGGTGGCACGCCGTGAGGAGCGCAATGAGAAGGGGGAGGAGGAGGAGGAGGAGGAGG